TTTCCACCTAGTGTACCTTCTAAAAGCGTTCAGTAATGTAAGGTGTGACCTGATTGTAATTAGCTGCAACGTTTACGCTAAACACTTCATAACCTAAAATGGCTAGCACAAAATTGCAAATTGCAAAAGCAAAATTGAAATTTAGACGGTAACACTAAAACACGTGTTGGTATTTTAAAGTAATACTGTAAGTTGAATGCACTTTGATCGCTGGCCTCCGAATAAAATCCACCTCTAAAAATAAAAGAAGCATTGCACTTATTGTGCTTTTGACTAACTAGCCACTTCAAGTGGGTGGTGAATTTCTGTTACACGTAATGAATACGGAATGCCTCACTTGCTCTCTTTCCAACTTTACCTTGTCCGTTTCTAACCTTATCTTCTGTCCTTTTCTTTTAGTGACTTCTACCCATCGCGGGTGTAGATTCGCTACTGTCTGACGTAATTTACTTAAAGATAATGTCCAATTTGTGGATTCGCCATAATGTGCGATTAAAAAGCCACAAATCCAAGTGTTTCAGCATTCTCCTTCTTCCATTTAGTCGAAAACAAGACACGGTGTCATTTCAGTGGACACAATCTCATTGATTCGCCAGACGGCCTCACAAGTCAACGTGGAATGAACCTTAATGTCTGAGTGAATGTAAAGGGGAGGTGGAGACGTGAGGAATTATCCCGAGGACAAACTCCACTTAAAGGGCAGCTGGAGAAATGCTTAATCTGGGCTGTTAAAAACTTGTTACATCTTTCGTACTGCGATAGGCAGATAACCTGTGTATAAGTGGTTGGAAGAGGAGGAGGAGCCGAGTTGACACTACGGTAACGTGATGATGTCAGTGAACGAATTGGTCTACTTAGGTTTTCTCTACACCTACCTGTGCATCGCCTTGCTGAACTACTTCAATGTAGTCAATTTGGCAACGTGGTGCGTCCTCTACGCATCGGTTGAATTCCTTGAGGCCACTGTCCTCCTCCTCCTCCTCCTCCTCTATATGTTGGCAATCATTGTCCTGCCTTATACGTAGACCGCATCCTCCTAAAAAGGCGCCTTCGTCTTCTCTACTTCGTTTCTGCCTTTTTATAAGCATTAACTTCGTCCTTGTTTGTTGCCGCCTCCACTGGAATCGGCAGGCAGAGAATCATCTCCACTTGTTCCTTGTATTGAACCTGTCGAACGAAAGACAGAAGATGGTTTGTTAAATCAGGATGGATGGTTGAAAGGATGAAGGAACGGCATGGTTCAGTGGGTATTTACAAAGATCAAAGGGGAGGGAGGATGCGAGAGTTTGATGGG